TAATTATTTATCAACACTAATCAGCAGTCTGGTATATATATATATATATATATATTTGTAAATACTCTGCCCAGTTTGGGACGAGTAGTAGAAAGCGGCGTGACGACCGCTTAAACCACTAGTTTTTTTGTCTGTGCAGTCACCTTAACTTATTAGTTTTGCTGCAGTTGCCACATTTTTTGGCATTTTTGCGTTCTATTTGTTTTGTGGTGCAGCTGAAGAGCTTACGTAATGTTAAAAATAAAAAGTTTCTTATTCATGCCTCTAAATAAATAAATAATCATCTAATTTGGCTGACGTTTAAGAGAGAATCTATTTGAATAAATGAACTTTTGAGCTTGATTGTGAGGCACAGACTATATCTTTTCGTGTTTTGTTAGAAATATCAGCGTCATAGGTAAGCAATGTACTGGTATGTTGTTTTAGTACTGTATGATATATTAAAATTTGACGGACAGTCATCACTTTGCACGATTTATATAATATAATTTTTTTTTGGGACTAATCCCACCCACACGCCCACCACTGTAACTCCTGTACACCAGGATCCACAGCAGTGACCCACGAACACACCGAGTTATGACACTCGGGAAGACCCAGGAAGAAATTAAACTGTCTTGGAACCCGCAACGAAATATACAGAACAAAATTGAAGGAGTTAGAAATACAGTAAATCCACTTGCCTCCTTAGCAAAGCGTGAGACAAAATGAAGTAAAATAGGCATACACCTTTTTAAACAGGGAAGCACCACGGCCACAAAATATTACGGGTCCTAGGTGAGCTATATTTGATTTCTATAATATGTATGGCAGAATCGCCTAAACGAACGGAAATTCACAATAGTTGACACAAGATCCCCATAGTATACCGCCCAGATGTCACCTGCAAGCTATTCAGCATTATATTACGTCCATTATACCAATGACTACATTCCCGGAGGATAGGAGATAGGAGAGTTAGGTGTTGAGCATTGACACAATGGTGACTCGACTAATTTAAATGAATACAGAATATAATATATATATATATATGTATAATAATATAGTTGTGGGAAATAAAAAAGGTAAGAGGTGGCTACTTTTAGAATCGCTCTTTGAGCTCTTTCTAGAGACAGTTTATTAGTTTTTAATGTTCCACCCCATGAGGTTATACAATATTGGATGATTGATTGACATAAAGATAAATACACTCGAGTATTCACAATTTTTTGAATACATACTTATATTAATTTACGAACTTTATTTACTAAACTTTCAATGTGTTTTCTAAAGGAGAGGGTAGTCTCGAGTATGATCCCTAGATATTTTATGTTATGGGTTTCCTGGATGGTTGAACAATTACACAAAGTCACTGACAAGTTTTGGTACGAGAGGGGTCATTGGTATGCGTATATGGAAGTGTTAGTTACAGCGTATTGATTTTTGCATAAATATATTTAGTCTTGCATTATTATGTAGGTATAATATTTAGATTAACAACATGAGATAATCTACATCTAGCCGCAAGACGTCAGGGTAACCCCTCCCATCTCCTTGCTAGTAAAAACTGTGTTACAGTTAAGGATAATCCCAAACCAGGTCAGTTGCAGAAATAGCCATTAATGCCAAATTATAGTGGATTTTAATTTGATCAGTCCTCAAACTAGGTTTATCTATTTAAATAAGGACCAGACGAAAAAAATAAACTAAAGAATAAAAATGAGTAATTAGTAGACTTGCAACGAATAGTATATTCGGCAGTATACCGAATACCGAATATTCGGCGAGGCCCCTGACCGAATAGCCGAATATTAGGCAAAAGTATTCGGCTGGATTTTAGCGCCAAAAACTTGTACAGACGTGAATTAAATTATGTACCTGTTTTATGTACCAATGACTACTTAATAAATGATTATAAAAGAAATGAGAACCTTACCCTTCTAAATTTTGATTACCACAATAATTCAAATACATAGAATCCTCCATTTTTCCAATTCAGAAGATGATTATGTACCTGTGTTATGCACCAATGACTACTTAAATGATTATAACAGAAATGAAAATATGAATATATACGTAATCAATCGATTTTAATTTTTCATTTTATCAATTATTTCTCAATGACCAAATATATTATTTAAGTATTCGGTATTCGGCCGAATAATATGTAGATATTCGGTATTCGGCCGAATATAATAAAAGCAGCCGAATAGGCCGAATACCGAATAGTAACCGAATATTCGTTGCAAGTCTAGTAATTAGTAAGTTAGGAACTACAATTAGGGCCTGTCCGAACAGGGATATTTCACCGCGAAGTTAAAAACTTCGCGGTGAAATATCGCTGTTCGGACCTCTCGCGTATAACATTCCGCAATTGGAAAGACATATTTTTTGGCGTGATTTTTTTCCGTCAGTGCAGATAGTCCTATACCTGCATAAATCCCATGTGTCATAGAATTTTGCAAAAAAACGTGCTGTGCGGACGAGCCTTTAGAGTAAGATTTATTGTTGTTAGTATTGTTGCGCCATATGTTTAAACGGTTCGATTGTATGAAATGTGGAAGACAGCGCCATCTAGTAAAGACTAAAGTACATTAAGATTGTGGTTAATACGAGTAGTTCTGATTCTTACAGCGCTAGATGGCGCTGCACTGCAAGACGCGGAACGGACTATCGAATACTAGAGATTTTTCGAGTAAAATTCAACAGCGCTATGAAGACACAGTATCATTTTACGACACAGCGAATTAACACCGGAGTGAATTTCTAGTGCGACTAACGAGATATATAGTGATTTCTAGTCTATGATAGTGAATGTTTGAAATACAGTGAAATAAAGTAATTAACCGACAACTTTTATTTATTATATACCCCGCTCGCAACAGTATGTTAGTAGTCACTTTAAGTTTGCAACGAAATAAAACACTCATTACAACTAAATATATTATCTGTTTAATAAAGCATTTTCCACACGAACAGTGACATTAAAGTTTAAATTTATATTAATTTAGTTGCTAAAACATCACAGCTTCTTTACACACGTATTAAAATTATTCATTCGTTTATATTGATTACCTGTGACAAGAATCTTTTGGCGCCAAAATTATATTTGACAGTAAACCATTTTAATGTCGTTATGTCATGACTTTGTAGTACAGATAAAAAATGAAGTACCTACAGAAACTAATTCATATTTTCTTCACTGAAAGTAATATTTCCGATTGCTTAAAATACTAAACTGTTATACCTTTTGATTTCTTCATTCATAGAGTAAAGTACCCTATGCAAAGTCAAGTCAAAGATGATAGAATCTTAAAAAAATAAAAATAGCGGGAAACTATATCTGTCAACATATTTTTGATTTAATTTGAATATTTATTAAGGAACATTACAGGTAATAAACCATCACGCTACGAAGCTTAGGTGCAGGGCAGTAGTGATAAACGCATATAAAACTGCGGTAGTTGCGGGTGTAAATAAAACAGAAAAAAATAATGTGATAAAAATCTATAATCTTTTTGTTTCTATATATTTATGTTTTTATAATTCTGCTAATTGGTAATTTATGTAATTATAACAAAAATACGATTATTTTAGTAGATTAGTCTATTGTGTGGGAAATACTTGTTCCCCAAAATTTGTAATTTACTAATGTGGTGTTAACGCAGACATCAAGGTGATAAACAGTTAACTAATTATCGTACACTCGAGAGCAATGACCCGGGTCAGATCGTGAACAACTACCTTCAAGAGGTAATAATAATTAGAATCAGAGGCCCACTGACTGATGGAAAAGGCGGTTCTCCTCAATACGCCCCATATAGTGAGGACGTGCGACGAGAATTTCACGTAACTTTATGTGACCCGTAGCATTTGCCTCAAGTATACTCTATACATAATAAAATACTCCAATGTACCTACAATTTTTCTAATCCTACATATAAGGCAACATTTAGTTGGTGAAATTAAATGTTCTGTAATTATAAAAAAATGAATACTTAATAATAACAAACACTACAAAATACTATTTTTTATAGAACAGAGGGGCAAACAAGCAGGCGGGCCACGTGGTGGTATGTGGCTATCGTCCATTTACACCTGGAACCCAAGAGTTACAAATGGTATTATATGATAGTAATTCCCGCTCTTTGTGATCATCAACAGCCTTTAGTAGTCTACCGCTGGACACAGGCCTCTCCTTAGGAAGGAGGTTTTGGCCTACTATACCACGCTGGCCAGACGGGTTGGTATAGGGTTTGTGTTAAGTTTTCCTTCTCTTTGCAGTGCTGTTGTCCTGCGTAGTTTGCTCCCTTAGTCGGCTCTTACGACACCCACGGGTTGAATAGAGGTGGTGACACTCCGTATTGTTAATCCGTCACCACACTCTTTGTAAATTTATTAAAAACTTCTGATTTTACTTTATTGTGATGAAAATTAATGTTTATCACAAAAAAAATTAACAAGACTTGATAAATAAAAGTTTTGTAAAAGTACGTAGTACGTAGTTTTTGTTACGTATTAATTTTATTTAAAATATATTGATAATTAAACATTTTTTTTTACTCAATACAAAAACAGATAAAGTAAAGTTTTTATAGGGGGCTAAAGGAGCCGGGTCACCTGATGGCAAGCAACTACGGTCACCAACGGACAACTCTAACAGGAGTCTTGTGACTGATATTGCTATATTATAATCGTGACACTATATGCTAAAAAAACTTTCAATGTGTTATTTAAATTAAAACCCATTTATTTCTTCTTACATACTAACTTTTCCCCGCGGCTACGATTGCGTGTCCTCCCCCATCCAGATTACGAGGGGTATGTAGGCTCCAGTATAATTAACCCAGTATTCTTTAAAGCCCTTGTTTAAACACAATTAATAAAAGTAATATAATAAAAAAAATTGTCTATGACGTGCCTAGCTATTTTTTTTCTAGCTCAATTGTTCCTCTCTGTCAGGTTTATTAATATATACTTATAACTTAATAACTAAAATTCAGCATGTCGGCCATCTTGAATCATTCCATCCAGTCGTCTGCGAAATCAACAGCGTCGACCTGAAAATGCCAAATTAACATTTAAAAAGCAACGCCGAGTTCAATGTCCAATGTTGTGGTATATTTAATAGTGCCATCGTATCTATCTGTGAATTACAAAAGAGTGGCCATGAGTTTGTTTGCCCTTTCTTCTCACAAGGCTCAACCCCTTGGAAACGGGCGGTTGTAGATCGGCACAGGCATATCATAGATTTTGTATGGGTTTGATTTTTGTTAAATTTATTTGCTTACTATTTGACGAAACAGAGATTGTTGCTTTTGTGTGTGTTGATCTATGACTTTAAAGTCTACATAAAAGACGATTTCAAACAATTTTGAAAATTTTATGAAATAAAGAGAGTTTGAGTTTGAGAATGCATCATGAAGACTTGTAATATACTGTATTATCCTGCATCTCTATTTATCCAGCAGTTCCCAGGTCCCAGTTGCAATTCAAACATCTGCAGCAATCGTTACGGATAGTTGGATCCCTACACAGTCCAACAACAGTCTTTCAACAGAACTTCGACATTGCCTAGTACTTGGGTTGTGGAGGTCTAAGGGCCGAGTGCAGTTTTATTTCACATGGACTTGTTTAGAGTTGCTATTGGTGGCAATTTCAGTGCGGGCCAATCGTAGCACCGTACACGGTCACCGTGACGGGCGAGTAGAGGTGAATTAAACTCGCACTTGGCCCTCAGATGGCAGTCACTCCGCGTAAAATGTCCAAAGTTAAGCCGTTTCATAGTACAGGCAACCCCAACATACTCGTAGTTTGGGAAAAAGGCTCAGAGGAAAAACAATTCTTTGAGAAACGTGGACCTGGGACTAATCCCACCCACACGCCCACCACTGTAACTCCTGTACACCAGGATCCACAGCAGTGACCCACGAACACTCCGAGTTATGACACTCGGGAAGTCCCAGGAAGAAATTAAACTGTCTTGGAACCCGCAACTAAATTAATCAGAAGAAAATTGGAGGAGTTGGAAATATAGCAAATCCACTTCCCTCCTTAGCAAAGCGGGAGACAAAATGAAGTAAAATGGGCATACACCCTTTTAAACAGGGAAGCACCACGGCCACAAATATTACGGGTCCTACGTGAGCTATGTTTGATTTCTATAATATGTATGGCAGAATCGCCTAAACGCACGGAAATTCACCCTAGTTGACACAAGATCCCCATAGTATACCGCCCCAGATGTCACCTGCAAGCTATTCAGCATTATATTACGTTCATTAACGAAAGACGTGGACTATAGGTACGAATTTTATGTGTTCCACCTAACATGTATGTATCGCGTAGTTGGTGTTGCATGCCTCTGTCTCTGTCAGGGTGTCGGGCGGTCTGGTGTGTGTGGAGCCCTCGGATCATGCCAACAACCTTGTTTGTATGATCTGAGGTGGTACCTGTTGCGAGGTCGCTTTGATTCCCGCTCGTATGCTTTCGGATTTTAATTAGACATATGTTTCCTGTATTCATTTTAATAACACTATGCATGATGTGTTTGCTTAAATTGGTAGTACATTAGCCAATTCTAGCACATGTAACTTATTATTATTAAGTACCAATGTTACGACTGGAAGCAAACCATAAATAAATGGGATACATTTTTGGACAAGTGACATACCGCATCCGGAGGAGGACTACTGCTGCGGAAGCCGCCAGCGATCGCGTACCCAGCTAAACCGCCCGCAGCCAGTGCGCCCACTCCCAGTCCAACAGCGGCGCCCGTGCCAATCCCTGATCGTTGCTGACTTTGAGCGTAAGTACTTGTTTGATAAGTCTGCATCTGAAAGAAGAAAAACGACACATATGCGTGCAAGCATTTATATTGCATAGACATTTTGTACGTAATTTAGTAGCAATAAAATCATCATTCGGTAAAGTTGTCTACTCATTTATCAAATTAGCAACCTATCAGTAATGTTAGGGAAGCTAACTCGAAGGACCATTAATGTAGGGGACATTAATGGTCCTTCGAGTCGACACATATATATATATATATACTCACGCCTATTTATTCGAAGAGGTAGACAGAAGAGTAAGGGTCACATTATCAAACATTTTTAGTGTGGACGTAATTACTACAGATAATAATAATAATATTTTCTGACATTGACACAAAACGCCATCTAGTTTCAGTACTAGTACTATGGTAAGTATATCAACATCAACAGCCTTTAATAGTCCACTGCTGGACATAGGCCTCTCCTTAGAAAGGACGTTTTGGCCTACTATACCACGCTGGCCAGACGGGTTGGTATAGGGTTTGTGTCAAGTTTTCCTTCTTTTTGCAGTGCTGGTGTCCTGCCTTGTTTTGGGCCCTTAGTCGGCTCTTACGACACCCACGGGATGAATTGGGGTAGTGACATTACGTTTTCTTAATCCGTCACTCCACTTAAACAACTTACTTAAAGCAAATATTTCATAGAGATTTAATTTAGATCATCAACAACCTTTAATAGTCCACTGCTGGACATAGGCCTCTCCTTAGGAAGGAGGTTTTGGCCTACTAATCTAATAACTTAGATAGAGATAAATTAACTAATCCATATATAAATATATATACTAGCTGACCTGGCAAACGTTGTTTTGCCACATACATTCTATCTAGATAATATTGAAAAAAAAATTTAGGGGTGGGTCACCCTTGTTATTTAGGGGTATGAAAATAGATGTTGGCCGATTCTCAGACCTACCCGATGTAAACACAAAATTTCATAAAAATCGGTCCAGCCGTTTCAGAGGAGTACGGTAACTAACATTGTGACACGAGAATTTTATATAAGATATATTATTACCTTACCATCATTTTAGCTGAACATTTAATATCATAATATTTACAAAATACGACATACCTCTCCTCCTGCATAAGCTGTAACAAAAAAAAAACATAAATTAGACTTAAAATTACCTTTTAGAAGTAAAAAAATCATTTAATGGGTAAACAAATTAAAATTCAACCTCCTAGTTTTATCATTAGATCAGTTAGGCGGTGTTTCGAAATCGAACTGACTAAAACTACGCCGTGTGTCATGGCGCCTGAAATAGAAGAGATCCAGGAACAGCTGTTATTAGACATACGGAAGACCAACGATACCATTTCTTTTTACGTATGGAAACCCCCTCGGGCCGTCACCCCACCGGGGTTTGGACGGGGTGGTGTGTCGGAATCGGACCGACTAAAACCACAAGGTGTGCTACTCTACGCCTGTAATAGGAGGGATCCGGGAACTGCTGTTATTAGACATACGGAAGACCAACGATACCATTTCTTTTTACGTATGGAAACCCCCTCGGGCCGTCACCCCACCGGGGTTTGGACGGGGTGGTGTGTCGGAATCGGACCGACTAAAACCACAAGGTGTGCTACTCTACGCCTGTAATAGGAGGGATCCGGGAACTGCTGTTATTAGACATACGGAAGACCAACGATACCATTTCTTTTTACGTATGGAAACCCCCTCGGGCCGTCACCCCACCGGGGTTTGGACGGGGTGGTGTGTCGGAATCGGACCGACTAAAACCACAAGGTGTGCTACTCTACGCCTGTAATAGGAGGGATCCGGGAACTGCTGTTATTAGACATACGGAAGACCAACGTTACCATTTTTTTTTACGTGTGGAAACCCTCTCGAGCCGTCACCCCACCGGGGTTTGGACGGGGTGGTGTGTCGGAATCGGACCGACTAAAACCACAAGGTGTGCTACTCTACGCCTGTAATAGGAGGGATCCGGGAACTGCTGTTATTAAGACATCCGGACCCCTCCTAGCGCCGGCCCGCTCCTGTTGCGGGCTCCGTCTCAAAATTTTTCCTCTCTTTAGGCGACGTCCGGCAGCTGTTGGTCGATCAGTCAGTGAGTCAGTCTGTAAGTTTCTTCTTTTAAAGATTTATGGATTACGACCAATGTATACAAGCAATTGATTTAAATTAATGTAATTTACATGACATCAGAAAAGCCGTTGGACCAGACTGGATCACTGTGGCACGCGACAGAAGCAAATGGAAATCTTTGGAGGAGGCCTTCACCTGAGAGGGGGGGTCACATGCAAATAATTATACAGATAAAGGATAAACTATTTAAATTTTCTATTATTATCAAATTAAATTTTATTGTACTCTTAATTTAAATAATGAAATGAATACCATAATAATTTATTGTAATTTATATTTAATAAGAAGTTAAATGGAATAAAAGTTTATACTTAATTATAATAATATTTAACAATCAAGTGTATCATATAAAAAGGTTTTTTTTTTTGTAGATAATAATAATAATATATCTCACACACTCACACACGGCCGTCTGATCCCAAACTAGGCAGAGCCTGTACTATGGTAACCAGACCGCTGATAAACATACTTATATATTTCTAAATACATACATATTATAGATAAATTAAACCCAGACACAGAACAAATGACCGTGCTCATCACACAATATATGTCCTGGGTGGGAATCGAACCCACGACCTCCGGTTTAGCAGTCAGGGTCACTAACCACTAGACCAACAGGCCCGTCTAGATGCATGGAATAAAATGTTTTTTTATTTTTTATTTCTTTTATTACAATAATTCCCAGTGATATTTGCATGTATGATTCACCATTCGCATGTGTCCATATCGTATCGCGGCCTTCTTTCACAGTCCAGTCTTATCACATAGAAAGTTTTAAAACATTTGTAATTTTTTCCGTAAAATATCGTAATACTAAACATATCTCATTTTAAAATACCTTGGGATAATTCTGAATATCCAAACTCTTTTCTGAAACACTATTAGTTCCGCTACTTGATAACAGATGGCGTAATATCAACATGTGTCGCACAATACTTTAGCGCCATCTGGGGTTAGTACTTCGGCTTGAAAATAAGTTTGCTCAGATCAGTGTACGTATACCTGGTTCCCCGGCTATTAGTACCCGAGACGGCGTGAGGTTTTAGTCGGTTCGAGTCCGACATGCCACCGATAGGATACCACCCGAGGGGATTTCCGCACGGAAAAAAGTAAAATAAATGTCAGTGTACATCAGTTAAGAATGTCAACGGTTTGTCTAGGCAGAAACGTAGTATATTATCTATAACTAGCTGACCCGGCAAACGTTGTATTGCAAAACAAAAAAAAAATTAGGGATGGGTCATCCTTACCATTTAGGGGTATGAAAAATAGATGTTGGCCGATTTTCAGACCTACCCGATGTGCACACAAAATTTCATGAGAATCGGTCAAGCCGTTTCGGAGGAGTACGGGAACGAACATTGTGACACGAGAATTTTATATATAAGATAAAGCTCGAAATTTCTTGGAAAATGATAGAGAACGACCCTTAGCAGCAGAGGAGTAAAAAAGACTTTTCGCAGTTTGAAAACTGGTCATCAGAATGGAACGGAACTCTGGATCGCTCTGGACATCAGAATATCACCCAGTCGCATTTCGTTCAAGACGAAAGTGCGGTCTTATATTTTGAATACACCAGCAGATTAACCACAACCATAATCTGTATATATAAAAATGATAAGTTTGTTTGTGTACTCTTTAAAAACTCAAAAAGTTCTGAACCGATGGTGCTCCAACTTTGACACGATATACAAACCACTGCAAAGATTGCTTTCATGTATTTTCGCACCATTTTTGCTTTACATTTCTCATCAATAGAATACAATATATTTTATTTGCATTGATGAGATACATGGGTACATGAAATAGTAAAATGCATAGCGAAGCGAGGCAGGGTACAACTAGAGGGGTGTCGACGAGACGGGGGTGGCGGCGGAGCACAAAGGAAACATGGAGGTGCCGACACGGGAAGGGATCATCTACCCGTCATAGATGGCCCGACGTACGTCGGGGTACCATGGATTTCCTTTCTGTACACCTGGTTCCCCGGCTACTGGCACCCGAGGCGGCGCGCGGTTTTTGGTCGGTTCGAGTACGACATAGCCACCGGTGGGTGGTATCCGAGGGGATTTTCGCACAGAAAAAAAAAGAAAGGGTACAGCTAGTGCCCTATATATTTTAAATTATATGTTTTATCAACAGCCTTCAATTAAGTAGTCCACTGCTGGACATGGGCATAGAAAAGAGGTTTTGACTTGTTAGACCACGCTGGCCAGACGGGTTTGTATCAAGTTTTCCTTCTCTTTGCCGTGCTGTTGTCCTGCGTAGTTTGCTCTCTAAGTCGTCTCTTACGACACCAACGGGATGAATAGGGGTGGTGACACTCTGTATTCTTAATCCGTCACCACACGGATACGGTAGATCATTTTTGTTCTATGTCTGGGTGTAATTTATCAAGGAAGGTATACCACCTTCTATTTACCAATTAACAGTCCCCAAAATCCTGTTTGGCAAAACTATAGAAATGTTTATCGAAGTCCCAATACAGCGATATTAATATTATCCGAGTACAGCTGAAGACTTTGTTTGTTTGGTTAACCAAGTTTTCAGGTTTATAATATTTGCGCTAATCTCAAGAACCACTGGATCGAATTTCTAAATTCTTTTAATGCTGGATAGCCCATTTATCGACGGAAGCTATAGGCTATAGCGATAGGAGCTGAGCGTCAATGAAAGATGTTGCAACAACGGGGAAAGTATATTCCTTTTCGCATACAAAGTTGACAGGGTCAGCTAATCTAAAGTGATGAAATGTCTCTACGAAGCCGCCACCGTGTTTGTCCAAATACAGAATCAGCAAACAAGGCTCATACCTTTGCATCGCCTAGTGAGACAAGGGGACGTTATTTCCCCTGAAATTGTTCACAAAGGACATGTTCAAGACGCTGCACTGGAAAGGGCGTGCCGTCAATATCAATGGCGAATACATCTCTCACTTGGACTTTGCAGACGACATCGTCATCATGGTAGGGACGCTGCAGGACCTACAGCAGATGCTGAATGACCTAGCTGACACTTCTGTACGCATCGGCCTACGGATGAACTTGGATAAAACCAAGGTCATGTTCAATGAACATGTAACACCGGAACAGATTGCGGTACACGGTGCCGTTCTCGAAGTTGTTCAAAATTATGTGTACCTCGGGTAGACATTGCAGTTAGGTAGAAACAACTTCGAGGACGAGGTGAAAAGAAGAATTCAGTTGGGTTGGGCAGCGTTTGGGAAGCTACGTCGAGTCTTCTCATCGTGGACACTTACGGTAAGGTTGGTCCACGTGTTCAATGTCGCTCAACGTGCTATGGAAACAGCTATGCTCGGCGTTTCTCTAAGGGATCGCATCAGGAATGAGGTGATCCGGCTGGTCACCGAAATAACCTACCGGATCAGCAAGCTGAAGTGGTAGTGGGCTGGGCATATTAGCCGCAGAACCGACAACCGTTCGGGAAAACGAGTTTTTGAGTGGAGACCGCGTCTCGACAAACGTAGTGTAGGACGCCCACAGACCAGGTAGAGTGACGATTTGCGCAAGACGGCTGGAAGGAGCTGGATGCGAGAAGCCCAAAATCAACTCAATGGGAGAGAAGTGGACAGCGAAGGCTGATAAATAAAACACAAAATATAAAATTTAATATTTTTTAATAACTTGAAATATTAAATAATGCAAAATACATAGAAAAGGTAATACAACAGTGTTTATTACAATTTAAATGTAACTACACGAACATATTTTTTTTTATATTTGAAAACTATTGAGACAAAAACTTCGCACATAAATTTGTAAAATATTTTTTTTTACCTTCCCCTAAAAGCTGTTTAATATTATACTGGCTTATCTAAATGCAAACATCGAGCCACAAACTGGTTACAATACAAAAATTGACCCTATTATATAAGGTCAAAATATGTTTACCTTACAATGTAAAGGTCAAAATAATAAATGTATTTTAGAAGCTTTAATTTATAATTTTACATAAT